CACGACGGAAAATATATTTCAATCAAAAACGAAGGAAAACTTCAGGTCATCACCTTCATCGACAGCATGGAATTAGTGTTCAACATTGATGGTGTGCTGCCGTAAAATACTTCGGGTAATCCTGCAGTTATAATCATTCGCGGAGACTCTGAAGGCCCGCAATACACCTGTTGACGAAAAATTTGTGGGAAGATCTCCACTCAATCTAAATTTGCATCCCTTAACCTCTACCTGATTAAATTTATGTGAAAGCTGATATCTTGGTAAACCGAGAAGCGTTATTCATAGTCAGCAGTGCAACATAAACACTCAGCAACCTCTGGTAATCCGTACAACTTTGGAAGAACACAATGCCTTCAGCATACAAATTGTGCCCACACTATATCAATAAATGGATAACAGGCGCAAATACTGTCGTGAACTCTATACGGTCAATGCTCATGGGATGCACCTTTGGCAGGCATCTTGATACTCTCCTAGAGATATGGTATCTTTTTCAAAATGGTGTTAACTGTTAGGCTTTCGCAGACGTCAGCGTTGGGCTCTAACATGTTTGTGCAATACCGGAGAGTTGGCTCAATCTAAACCCAACCCTTACAGCGTCAGATGCATGAAAATGCCTTCATAACTGGGGATTGATCAAACCTCAACTCCATCCCCTTCTGTAAATTCCCTAAATCCAGCAACCTGTCAGTGTGTCAGCTCGTACTATTTTACGTACCCACATCTTGGTTTTATACTCCGGCATCGGAGATATCATCAAAATATCTCTGACCAAAATACGTTTTCTCTGTCCGTAGCAAACTACTACACTTCTGAAGATGTTACCACTCTCTTTGTAATAAACTAGCACTAACAAGCGATGCCATTATATGCTGGTGAATGTTTATCAATAAGTTTTCTTCTGTAGAGCAGTTTCAATGCGCGTTTCTACGATATTCTGCCTCTAAGTTTCGTGAAACTGATTAAAATCTGGTTTCACTTACCGGCCCCCGGTACACCTGCGAAACTGTCAATACATATAAACACCATGAGACAAATTCCCTATTCGTCTAGCTTATCTCGGTATCACACGCAAGAACGTGGTGCATATTGGCCTGTAAAGGTGTATCGGGCATGTGGATAATTGCCGTTTCGTCACTGAAGCCGTTGGAGCTTCGAATATTGGCTACCCCTGATTTACACGTCCTGTTTAGCAGCCATCCACTCCGTATGATTCGAGCTTCACATCCGAATGGATCCCCATCCAGACCAAAACATACCTGCGATCTCATATTGTCTTTGTTCTGCGGCTACCCTGGACCAACCCGAAAATTTGCCCCGCCCACAGAATCACACACACCAGCCCAATCACCTCAACCAAGATGTCCGCCACGGGGTTGTCCAAGAGTCGACGTATTGCAGTGGAATAATGGCACGGTCCTGCCACGCCCAGTTTGATAGCACACCTGCAACAACTAAACCCTCACTTTTTTGGTATCCTCCCGCCCACTCTGGTCCTTATCTGCAACCGCGAACAAACTCCACTCAACCCAGCCGCCTCCGGAATGCGTTAATTCTAAATCGCTCAACCTTCCGTTGGAATGCAAACATTGGTTGACTTTCATTCTGTGTTCCTCACAAGCTAAGCTATTTTCTGTGCAGTTTGCGCTTTGTCTTGTCCGTTATCACCAACTCCCTTCTCCCAAAGAGCTTCTACACCCGATCTCACTCCCAAAGTGATATTGGTGAGTCGCTACAGTTTCAATGTACGCAGTGACTACGATATTCCTACTACGATTTATCCGTATTGTTGATTCCCCTACTTCGTTATCCACAATTACGGTTTTTGTGACCCCGGTCGTAAGCCCAAGTCCGAATAGTCTTCCTCGCTTGATTAAAACATTAGTTCAAATTGACTGACCAGATCTTGAAAATCCTGCTACCACACCAGATTCGTGCTCCGGTTCTACATTTCTCTCAGTTTGAATTTTTCTCATCGCTCGGCAAGCATTCAACTCCTAATTATCTCATCTTGTCTCAGCTTGGGATTTTCCCCCCAAAACTGAGATAAAATCCTGGTAACTGTGTCTAGTTTCCCTCGCCGATTTAGGCGTGGTCATGTCTACATCGGAAATTGTTCACTGTTTATGCACCCTCCTTTGTATCGCCCAACCCCATTACCCACAAATCTCCCCAGTTGTACTTTATTCTGACTATGACCGTGTGATTATGCCTGGCAGAATGCCAACCACTAGTTAGGAACAAACATTATTGATGCGATTGTACTTTGTCATCTCCTCCCGCTTCCTTATTCATTTTCTGAAAAACTTTACTGGACCACTTCAATGACAGTCCGGGATGGCTTTGAAAGCACTTTCGTCCACTATGATAGGTTTCTCCCTTCAATACCTACCGTATGAGCATCTGTTTACGTAAGGTAGCCAAAAGTGCATGTGTCAATGATCCACGATGTTGCATTCGTATACCCATATCGAAGTCTACCCTACAATGTTTCACGAACGACTACATATCTACAAATCTATCCATAAATTTACTGGCGTACCAATTTGCAAATTGAAGCCCTCAATATTTACTGCGAACTCTCATGGGTATTCCTCACCATCACCTGAACCTTCATTTCGTTTTTAGGATCGGCCTCTAGCACGTTGCCAAATTAATAATGGATTTCACCCACCCCTGAAGGCCTGTGGTTTAAAACCGCATTCTACACAGCACCGTAGCGCATTCAGGTAGTCCCTTTTTGTTTTGAGCCCCCTGTGTAGAAGTGGCCGACTGCTTGCCTCACAAGAAATACCGCAATCACGCGCGCCGGACCCTCAATAATTTTAGAAGTATCCTTCCTTCATTCTGGTGCCCGTTAAAGTACATTTTTCAACCCTAAATACTTTAATAACCCCATCTGATTTGCCCTCAACTTTCATGTCCTGAATCATCCACGAACCCAAGTACGACGTCGAGATAACGGTACTTCGGTTGTCATTTGCGATCTCACAACTTGTTTGTTGTTTCCAACAGCCCTGCCATTTCCTGGCCGAGTTGGTTACGTGCGTCGACAAAGCCATTTTAATCCGCTGAATGTATGCCAAAAATTCTAATTAATTGCTATCACATCTTATGCCATACACACTTTGCTCTTCAAGTGACGGCAATCTGTCCTACTCGACACAAGCACTGCAACTCCGAAAAGCCTGATCAACGACCTTCACACTCATAAACCAGTGAATTCGCCCAATTTTAATCCGACCCACATTCCTGATTAAGAAATATCTCGCCCCCACTCATCTGCAGTGCCGTTTGTCTTCTAAAGTTTGTTGTCTGCTGTTTGAACTGTTACCCTCACAGATCATGTCATTCCTTTGATGCAATTGCTGCCAGTTTTAGTTCTGTTGTATCCCTTCATCTTCCCTGATGCTACCTGGTAGGCGACTGGAGAAACTGTGTGGTAACGCAACTATTGCGTTCTATTTGTACGATTTATCTGTAACCGTATTTGATAGTCGAACTGCTCTCAACCAACCAGTGTCTCCTGTACGCCCACACCAGCCCTCGAGCGGTTGTTATCTTTGTCTCGATTAGTCATAGATAGCCGTCTGTTCACTTGTGTATGGAGTGCCTCGGCCATCGGGTGGGCGTGAAAGGCATGTGTACTTCCTGACCTTTGCTCCGGCAGGTGATGAAATCGGGCACGATGCACAGATCTCGTGCCATCTGGTATTTTCTCCATAGAACATAAAGAGACCTTGTAATTTTGGATTCCTACCCATGCCACCTCAGGTGTGATGAATTCTACTCCATTAATGTTTACAGTTTACGTCACTTTCCCTTTTCCCATAAATCACAAACCCCACCAGTCATGCCTTTATTCTGACTGTAATACTATGATCATGCCCGACGGTATGCTACCCACTAGTTGGGAATAAATATTATTATTATTATTAATTGTGGGCGTACTCGTACGGCACTGTTTCATTTAATCAATGTTTCACTGCGCAGCAGGCTGATGCCGGGCCGTAATAGGTTCGGAAATGCAATGGTTTTAGGAACAGCACGCACTAGTGATGTTTATTGCATTATTGTAAATTATAGCTTCTTCAGTTTCGAATATTCCTCCAACAATCCCATATCAAATA